TGTTTTTTCCCATGGGTTGGCACCGCCCCTCCCCCCAGACTCTCCATCTGGGCTATGCTGCGGGACCCGGGGGGGGCACAGCGCCCCCCAGCAGGAGGCGCTGGTGCCCCGTGACACCCCCACTCCCGCTATAGGGTGAAAAGGCCAGAACCAATCGCCCCCCCCCAGCAGCTCCGTGCAGGAGAGCAATCCAGGTCCAGCCCCCCCATTTTCCCTCTGCTCAGCCCCCCAGAACCTGCCCCCAACCCTCCCCCCAGGGACGCAGGCCTGACCATTAGACTGGGGGGGAGGGTTAGCCCTGATCACCCCTGGATCTGGAGGGTGCCCCCCCCCACATCCAGCCCAGGGTCCCTCCCCGTTTGCAGCCAGCCAGGGACCCGTTAACCATTTCATCACCGGGGGGGAGGTTCCTCACCCCCACATTCCCCCAGTCCCACCTCCAGTGACCGGGACCCACGCTCAGTCCCCCCATCGGCCCCCAGGCAAAGCCCCAAAGCTGATGCTGGGGGGGGGGGGCAGCAGCCCTGGGGGCCCCTCCCCAGCCTGTCCCCCCGTTTGACAAGGAGGTGGTGACCCACGTCCCGCTGGGGTTGGGGGGTCTCCATACATCCCCCACCTCTACCTGGCCCCACAGTCCGTTCCGTAGTGGGGGGCTCAGGGACCCCCAGTCGCTCCCCCCCAGCTCACAGCTCGATCTCAAAGGTTTTCTGCAGGTCTCCGGCAAAGGGGTTCACCGGGTCGGCCCCCCCGGGGGGCTTGGCCCCCAGCGCCGCCCACTGAGCCTCAAAGGGGTCCGGCTTGGGCCCGGGGCGGGCGGTGGCGAGCGGGGGGGCCACGGCCCCCGGCTGGCCCGACTCCGGGGGCCAGGGGGCAGCGCTGCCGGACTTGGGTCGGGCCTGGGGGGGAGGGGGCAGCGCGGGGCCCAGCAGAGCAGGGGGGAAGGGGCTGGCCTTGCCCCCCAAGTTCGAGGGCGGCAGCTGGGCGGCGGAGCAGAAGACGTTGGCCACCATCTGGGAGGGGGTGATGCCCACCACGGGGACGCTGGGGGCTGCGAAGGGCCCGGCCGGCGGGTAGGCCCCCACGGGCACGTAGGCCGGCTGCATGTGGGGCGGCAGGAACATGCCCACGGGGGCGGGCGCGGCGTCGTAGCTCATGGGGTAGGGGGGCAGCGTGGCAGGCAGGGCTGCGGGCACGGCCACCTGCTGCGCCTTGGCCGTCTGGGCCACCTCCTCCAGCCAGCGCTCGGCCTCCGATGGGGTCCTCTTGTGTCCGGGCTGGAACGGGGGGGCCTGCGAAGGGGCCCCCGCCCCAGGCTCTCCCCAGGCGTCCGGCCCTGCGGGCGAAGAGAAAAACAATGTCAGGAGCGAGCCACCCCAGTGGCAATGCCAGGGCGGGGCGCGGAGGGCTGGCTACCTACGGAGCCCTTGCCTGGCACGAAGATGCAGCTGCCTCTGGGGTGGAGCGCGTGGGCTGGCTACCCAGGGACCTCTTGCCCAGAGCAGAGATTGGCTTTCTCTGGGGTGGGGAGCAGGGCTGGTTATACAGAGATTTTCCCTCTGGGCGACAGCTTGTCCGTGTGCCCTTGGCACCATGTGGGTACGGGGTGTGCCCGGGGGTGATCCCCAGGAGAGGGGCCTGGCACCCCCAGTGCAGCCCCCAGGGGGCCTGGCCTAGTTGGGGGTGACACCCCTGGGGGTGCACATGGCGTACCTGGGGGCGTGGCACAGGGGACGTGGCGCAGTGCATGGGGGGCGTGCGCGGGGATGTGGTACAGGGCACGGGGGGGAGGGGTTCCCGGGGGCCTGGCACAGGGGACGCGGCACAGGGCACGGGAGGGGGTTTGCGGGGCCCGTACCTTGGGGGAGCCCTGCTGGGGGGGAGGCGGTGCCGTCGGCGGCCGTGGGGCTGAAGGGGTCGGCGGGCGGGCGAGCGAAGGAGGCGTCGATCTGGCTGCAGAGGGCGCTGATCCCGTCGCTGTCACCGGTCGGGGTCGACTCCAGCTCCGGCACTGGGGGGGGGAACTCGGAGTGAACACCCGCCCCTTCCAGTGTGGCCCCCGGGTAATACGCCCCCCACTCTCTTAAAGGGCTGGAAGCCAAGATACCCCCCTAGGGTCCAGCTGCCCCCCCAGCTCCCGTGGCCCCTGCTGCCCCCCACACCCAGTTCCCCCATGCCCCTACCCCCCCCCAGCTGCCACGTGTGCCCAGCTCACCCACACCCCTGCCCCCCCAGTCCCTGCTT